CGCAACCCCTACGGCGAGTTACGCCCGTTGCCTATTCCGTGGGAACCCGGGCTCTCTATTGCTATGGACGTTACCGGCCCGTTCCCCCGTGACCGCTTCGGGCACGATGACATTCTCACGGTCGTTGACCAATTGAGCAAGTGCGCACGATTTCTTCCTTGCAAGTACTACGCCACGATTCCTGAACTTGTGCACCTCTTACACACCGGCTGGATTTGCGGCCACGACGTTCTGGAAGACATCGTCAGCGACTGCGACACTCGTTTTATGTCGGCATTTTGGACCTCCCTCATGAAAGAGTCCGGCACCGAGATGAAACCAAGTTCGGCTCGACATCCGCAAACGGACGGGCAGACGGAGCGGGCACACCAGACCGCTCAAGTAATGCTTCGCATGCTCATCAGTACGGATCAGAAGGATTGGGTGGACCGCCTCCCCGACATCGAATTCGCCTACAACACTTCGTTGCACCCGGCGATCGGCGTGACTCCATTTGAGTTGCACCACGGTGGCAAGAAAGGTTGTATCTTCGCTGATCTTCCATTTCCGAGGACTGTCGACATTGACGCCGCTTATTCTCCCACCTTCGTTCGGAAGTATAGGGACTTGCTGGCTAAAGCCCGCGCCAACATGCAAAAGGCTCAAGTCCATATGCAACATCAAACTAACAGGCATCGCGTGCCATGCCCTGTCCGCACCGGCGACCTTGTTTGGGTCTCCACGGGGGAGTTTGTGCTTGAACAAGATGTGTCCCGCAAGCTACTCCCAAAGTGGTTTGGACCATGGCCCGTCACATCAGCCGCGGGCGATGAGCCCGATGGCCCCTCCTTTGTGATCGAAATCCCGCCGCATCTCACGGTGCACCCGGTTTTCCACGCCTCCAAGCTGGCCACATATACACCAGCCAAGAGTGACGGCTTCCCGGGCCGTCGATCGCAGGACCCTCCTTCCATGGATGGTCATCAGGAAGTCGACCGCATCATCACGCATCGCAAGCACGACAACAAGCTTGTGCAGTACAAAGTCACATTCAAGTGGTGCGACCGCGGCGACACGTGATGGATTTCCCGGGCAACTTTGCATGCCTCGCACCAGAGATCTATGCTAATTATGAGAAAAAACGGCTAGCCACGGAAGCTGCACAACCTCCCACCCGGACTTCAGTCCCTCCCTCCAACAGACAGCTTCACCCTCGCAGGTAAGCTCGTACCTTCAAGGAGGGGGGAGTGTGGTATCAGCCTGAAAGCCTGAAACAAGGGCTTACATGCCCTGAGTCTTTTCAGCTTGAAACGGAGGGCCATTTTCAGGCCCTCATAAGATCGACCTGCCCTGAAACTTAGGCATCAGACCAAGGTTTTAGCACAGGCCATTTTGGGCCTGTTTTCAAGACAACCTTTGTTTGAACTTCAACGCCAGGGTCTGGCACGTTTTGGCATTGGCAAGAGCAGCCTCTTGGACGGGCCAGCACTATATAAGACTGGCCCGCCCTACAGGCTGCAGGCAGTCGGGAGGTTCATAGGAACTTCCCAGGCACTTCACGTGAAGGAGGCAGGAGATAGTCTTCAGGATTCGGCAGCAACACTCTGGAGGAGTGTTGCAGGAGTAGTAGTAGCGTTGGCAGTAGTCTTCAGCGTTGGGCGCTAGTAGGAGCCAGAGTAGCGTTGGAGAGAGAGAGAGAGCGATGGTTGGCGGAGGCCAGGGAAACTTACCTGTGGCGCCATAGCTCCAGCTTCGTCTTCGATGTACCCGCAACAAGGCGCCACCTTCACAGGTTAGTACCGGACTGAGAGAGAGAGAGAGAGAGAGAGAGAGAGAGAGAGAGAGAGAGAGAGAGAGAGAGAGAGAGAGAGAGTTCTTCTTCTTCCTCTTCTAAGTCCACCATCTGTTCCTCACCCACTCGTTACCTGACTTCTCAGTATCTACAAACTACGAGAGAGAGAAAGATTGGTGATTTTGGGATTTGACGACATTTGGATCCAGACTCGACATTGGGATTCAGACATTTGATGAGGGATTATTTGGGACTGTAGCGAAGACTTGGTGTTGACGACATTTCCATCTTCCCCTCTTCTTCATCTAATCCCCCTCTTCTTCGTCTGTGTATAGTTGGGGACTGGCGCATTCTTCTTGTGTGAGCGCCGGGCCCCTTCACACCATGGAATGATGATGATGTATGTTTGGTCTGCGTAGCAATATTGATTGTTCGGATCATTGGTATTTAAGCCTTCCATTGTGTTATCTTGTACTTTGTGAGAGAGGTCGGTTCTTGTTCTGGTCTGTACCATTACGGTATGCAACAGTCAGACTGCTTTGGCAATTAGGCTCCGGGCCATTCCGGGCCACACGCCGTCTTTGTTGACCATGATACCTAGATATCAGAGTGCCTGTTCGCTTGTGGACCATGCCATGGGTACGGCTGTGTCCTCGGGTTGGGGGGTGTCCTGTTTGCTAGCCACCATCCTTCGGTTTTGCTCTAGTTGACCTTCATTTCGAACGCTAGACGCAAAGCCTCCATAGTCCTGGCAAGAGCTTGGAAGGACCTGTTGTTAATGTGGATAAGGACTGTGAGATCGTCTGCGAACATCGTTGCAGTGGGTAGGGCGAAGTCGTGTAGTGGGTTGAATTTCCATTCGGTGAGCCAGTCTATAGACGGGTCTTTGCAGAGGAAGGACACTATGGCTTCCATGATAAAGAGGAAAATGGGGGGTGCTAGGGGATCTCCTTGTCGTACGGACCTGGATATGGGGTAGGTCTCCGATAAGATCCTATTGACCTGCGCTATGCCGGTTGCGTCAGCGTACAGCACCTTGATGTACTTTCTGAAATTCAGGCCGACTCCCATTTTTTCCATGCAAGCATGAAGGAAATCCCAGTTGACTTGGTCGTAGGCTTTTTCTAAGTCAAAAAAAAGAATCGCTGCTTTCATCTGTTTCTCGGTAATCTTTTTGGCCACTTTGTTCAAAGTCATCGCATTGTCGAGTATGTACCGGGTTGGGATGAAGCCAGCTTGGTCAATGTGGAAGCATTTGTCTGTCAGATTTATGATCCTATTGACCAGTGCTTTTGCTAGGATTTGGTAGGGGGTCGTGAGTAGAGAGATAGGTCTGTAGTTTTTCAAGTTTTGTTTCTCGGCTTTCTTGTGGAGTAACGACACTACGCTTATACTCAGATTTTGGCCTAGTCCTCCTCGGTCTCTGCTGTCATTAAAAAAGTTGAGAAGATCTTCGCCTAATCTGGGCCAGAAGTGGACCCAGAATTCTTTTAATAGTCCATCGATGCCCGGGGCTTTATCGTTGCCCATTTGAGTCAGAGCTGTGTGTAGCTCTCCCATGGAGAGTGGTCTGTCCAACCCTTCGGACTGTTCTGGTGTGATTGTCCTCTCCAGGTAGGCCATCATTCGTTGTCATGTTGTTAAGTTGGTTGAGGGAAGGGGGGAGAGGGTGTTTTGGATTCATAGACTTGTGCGTAGAACGATCTGGCTATCTTCACCATCCCCGATCCTGATTGGTCGACCCTGTTCTGATTGTCGGGGTCTTTCAACCCTTCGATGTTGTTTTTTCTGGCGTTAGCCTTGATTTTAGCGAAGAAATGCTCTGTCATGGATTCATTGAGGGTGTGATCGGTCACCCTGGCTCGAATCTGCAGACCTCTCAGCTCCCACCTCATCAACTTGCTGATTCGAGTACTTGGCTGTAAAAGGTGTTTGAGGGATTTGCAACAAGGTTGTCCTCAGCGAGTGATATGGCAAGTTGGAGTTGTTCTTTTCTGATTTTTTCGCTGACCGGCTATGCTTCTGGATTCCGCTGAGACTGTTTGAGTAAGGTCTGTGTAACTGCCGATTGACCATTGGTGACTTTTGTCCAGTCTGGCATTGCTCTTCTCAAGAAGAACCAGTTCCATCTGACTGCCGCTGTCAGTCTTACAGTGGCTAAGAGGGAGTTGTTGAATCTGTAGAGGCCCCATCCTGTTTCCATGGAGAGTTGAAAGTTCAGGAGCAGTTCTACGGGATTGTGGTCCAAACCCCTGAAGGTCGCTGGTGGACGGATCTCAGCCTGAATGATTGTTCCTTGGAAGTGCTTGGAGATCAAGAAGAAGTCGATCCGGGACAGAGATGTCCGGTTGGCCTGGTTCTTTTTACCAGTAAGGCCTTTTTTCTGGGTGCAGCATTCTGAAGGGGTCGATGAGGTTGAACTCTGTAATGATATTTCTTTTGTGGGTTCCGGCTCTTGTCGGGCCTATCAGTTGGGAGCAAGAGATGCGGTCGAGGTTGGGGTCCAAGGTCGTGTTCCAATCTGTAAATTCTTCTTCTTCTTGTGCTCCTTTTTTTTTTTTAATACACGAAGCCCCTTCTATTCTGGCGGGCATCAGTCCAGTTTCTTACTACCGCCAAGCAAGGAGGCACAAGTGGTAAAGAGAAAGCAAGGAACAGCCTTTCCCTTGTGGCACTAGACGCCTAACAAGGGGAGGACTGCAACGAGGCCACCCACCCTCCAGGCCCTATCCTTTCGTGAAGGGGTGCTTCTTCTCCCCCTTTTTCTTTTTTTCTTCTCCTTGCCTCCTTCTCCTCCGCCTCCTCCTTTTTCGAGTTCATTTGCAATACCATGATTCAAACTAGTCATTTGAATGCATTTTTTTAATTTTTTAGCATGCATCATAGCAGATGGGTCGGTGATGGGCACACAATGTGGCACAAGCTGAGTTTGCGAACATACTTATGCCACAGACAGGCTCACTACCAATACGGTCTGTCTTCGAAAGCAAGAGAGGGCACAGACAGGGTCTGCTTTGCCAGAGGGCAAATATATACTCCATGGGTTGAATCGTCTTGCGGTGACCTTACCCATGCCCTATTTATTCCCTATGGGATATTGGAAGTTTAACCATGATGATTCCCTGACACATGACACGTGCCAACGAGCTTACACACTGCGTGAGATGCCACTGAGTGTATAAGCTGATTGGTTTCTGTGTGGGTGGCTTTGTCATTCTCAAACCAACAGATTGGTGCAGGAAGAGGCAGCTGCAAAAGATTTATGGCCCTCTGCTTGAGGCTTTCCTCTCTCTATACTTGGGGCTTGAATGGCTTCAGGTACGAAAAATCTTCCCGTTGATTGTCTGCCGTTTTTTCATCCTTGGACTGGCAACACGAGTGTGCGCAGATGCTTGATATGAATGCACCTGCTTTTCCGACAACTTCTCACCCTTCCCTGCCTGAAACAGAACCAGTAGCAGATAAATAGTAGCTTAAAAAAGCACCACAATTTCCTGGAGGCTGGAACATTTACACTGACCAATGAATACAGCTGAACGCCACGAATGATGAATACAGCTTTTGATTAAGTTATCTACATAAGGGCACAGTGTTTTCATCTGCAAGTCCAGTGACCCATTTTCAATAACCGACACAGTTCTCAGTCGGGAAATCGGAGTTTTTGCTGAGAAGATTCACTAGGTTGCTGAGACTCGAAGTTTTGCAGGGGCTTTTCAGGATGGCTTGTCTACTGTAATGACCCGCTATAACACAGACTGAGAACACTGCTGATTTCTGAAGCTCTGTCGATGGAATGGATGCGTTGCTGCTCTGTCGATGGAATGGATGCGTTGCTGAGATTCCCGCATTCTGCTGAGTTTTCTAACTCTGTGTGTGTCCGTGCTTGTTGACCTGCGTGCCTGTCTGAGTGCTTGTCGGCATGAGTGTGTGTGTGACCCGCAAGGGTATTTGCTTGTTTGGCAGGCGCGTAGGGCCGGTACTTACCTGTGGCCGTGGCATTGAGGGTTGCAGCAGGGGAAAACACTCCAGTGGCGGAGCCAGAGGCCCGCGGCACTTAGAGCAGCGGAAAAACACTCAAGTAGCAGGTAGGCCGGTAACGCACCCAGTAGCAGGAGATGTGCCGGGCACTCGAGGCCGAGCAGAAGAAGACAAAGTTGGCATTTTTAGAGGCCCAGTAGCGGTAGGCTAGGTCTAGGCCGGTACCAGTCCATCCAGTCTGAGNTAGCGGTAGGCTAGGTCTAGGCCGGTACCAGTCCATCCAGTCTGAGTCTAGAGCCTGTACGGGCAATATCAGAGTCTGCAATGATGTTTCCCTCCTAAAGGGAGGAGGTACCGGTTGCTTGGAGGCCGAGCGGCCTGGAAGTCACCGCCCAGGAGGCAAGTAGGCCGCTATATCAAGAGGCCGAGGGAAGAGCCCGGCCCCATTCTTCAGTGTGCGAGTTGGGCTTCACGCTGCTGGAGCGCTGGTTGGAAGAGCGCTGGTTGATACAGCGCTGCTGAAGCCGGGAGCTTCCACCTTGGCTACGGTGGAGCTCTAGTAGGAGGAGGGGGGAGAAGGGGACCAAGGAGGAGAGTGGCGAGGTACTTACCTGGCTTTGGTGGACACCATCTTCATCACCTTGTTAGGCGCTGCATCTGGAAGGCCCCCGTTGGGGTAGTGCCGCACCAAGGAAGCTCGGGGCAGAGACAGGCATGGCGGCCTAGTGAGCAGTAGCATAGCTGCTTTGCGTTGTCCTTCGCACAGGGAGGCAGCGACATAGCTGCTTTGGGTTGTCCTTTGGACAGGAGGGTAGAGCCCTCAGTACTCCACCATAGCCTCGGCCTGCATGTAGAGGAAGAGGAAGGGTGACCATGGCTATGGTGGACCTCATGTTGTGCCTGCAGTAGAAGTGGGATTCGGACATTGATTCTGGTTCAGCCATTCAACATTATTATTGTTATTTCTTGTTTGAATAAGAGGGGAGGAGATAAGGAGAAGGAGATAGGTTGGCGAAGAAGAAGAGCCTTGTCATTGGTATATGCTGGAATACATCTTCTTCTTCTTTCTTACTTCTTCTTTCTTACTTCTTCTTCTTCTTCTTTCCCTCTCTCTCTCCTCTCAAGTTCATTCATTTCTTTTTGCAATTGGACGGCATTGTACTTTCTGATGAATGTATACTTCGAAATTGGCCAGGATCATAACATTGGTATCGGAGCGGATTCTACTTGTTGGCGAGAGTTGACTTTGCCGCCATAACCCTAACCTAAGTGGTAAGGGCTAACCACTTAGGGTTAGGGCTGGAAGTTAGGGTTAAGTGGGGCAGCGTGGTAAAGGGAAGCTGCTCCCACCTGGCAGGGCCGTGCAGGGTCGACATTAGACCCGGCCAGGTTGCTCGAGTGGATGTATGTGGTGGCGAGACACAAGGTGGAAACTTCGTGATGCAATTTGAGAGAGGCAACAGTGAAGGGCACTTACAACTTGAATCGGGACTTCAAGGAAGACGAGGAGTGACTTTAGGGCTCCCCTCAAGTTAGGCGAGCTTGAGGGTGGCAGCCATATCTGCACCTACGGACTGCAAGTTGCTACTTCAATCTTCAACATCGACGGGGGATCTGGCGTTTTACTTTGGGGTAGATGTTGACCCTCCTAGATGATAGGACACTAGTGTAGAGGATGCTAATTGGGTCAGGAGGACTATGTGAGAGGGGGTTGAGTTTCTTTCATCTCAAGAGCCCGGCCACTCAGGTAAGTGTCGTGCCGCCAGGGTGCCCATGCGTGTGTGCATGGAATTGACTGCCTGCTGGGGTATTCTGAGTTCTTCTTCATCCTCCATAGTCTTGATCTTGTGTGAGGTGTGTGAACTACTTACTCACCTGACGAGTGAATGAATGAAGTATCTTGTGTGCCATGCTATATCTTTCTACAGTGCTTTATATATTTCATTCTGAATGGTTGTAGTTTGTAGGTTCTTTCTGGGGCTGAATTTCGTTTTTCAATTCGGTAGGGGCAAAGAGTAGGTCTTTGTGGAACTCTTGTTGGTTGGGACCCGGTTCTGACTCCGTTGGGACCATTTGGGACTCAGCGGGACCGGGCCCAAACAAGAAGGGCCCCTCAGGTCCAAATCTGTTGACGTCAGTTACCGTGCTTTATTTGATTGGGACTAGGAGTTCATGCTTTCAGACTAGGACACTCGCTGCTGAGGGGATCTCAGCTCAGACGTTTTAACAGACTTTACTGCACGATCCGCCGCCTGACTCGCACCTTGGACACCACTCAATTCTCTCTTGCATTACGTAGTACACTTTGAATTTGATTTTTGTTGTGTCTTCACAGAGTTGAGATTTAGGCTTAAGAGGACCTCATACGTAGTTGGACCAGACTGTGTGGCGGAATCAGATCTCTCTGATCTTTATTTTTTTGTTGTTTTGACTGCTCTCCAGTCCAAATGAATTGCCGCTCCGGCTAGGAGTTCTACCTTCTCTTCTGATTGCTTTCAAGTTATTTCTTTCATTGGGTTCGATTGCTTTCAAGTTGTTTCTTTCATTGGTTCGTTAAATGCCTGCGTCTACACGATCGCAAACAAGAGAGAGAGAGAGAGAGAGAAGAGAGAAGCTTCTGAGTGTTGCTCTTGAGGGGGTGAGGAGAGGGAAGAGGAGTGTTCGTCCCAGAAGTGTGAGGAAATACGGACCTCTCTTGAGAGACTTATTGACACCCTCATCCTCCATCATGGCATCTGCAGCAGAATGGAAGTTGCAAATGGATGCTGCCCCTGAGGCAGAAAAAGCGCACTACCAGTTATTTTTATGAAAAAGCATTGAAGAGGGAAGAGGAGGAGAAGGAGAAGGAGAGGGGAGACCAAGTAAAGGCTCATGAAGCCGTCTTCGGTACTGTGCCCGCCTTAACTGATGCTGAGGTGGAAGAGAAGACTTTCCCACTCCTCAGGGCTTTAGTAGAGGTCCGGGCTGTTGAAGACCATACAGGCCAACTTGGCAAAGTGTCTGATGAGCTCAAGAAGTTGCACGAGGATATGGCCCTAATGGCGCAGCAGCACTGTGACCACCTGCAACGTTTTGCTGATATTCAACCAACCCAAGGTGCCCTTCGCCTGTTTACCCTGCTTCTAGTGCTGCGTGTCAGTCCATTCTTGCCCCTTTAACTGTATCTTCTTCTTCTTCTTCTTCTTCTTCTTCTTCTTCTTCTTCTTTGAGTATGGTCAATAGCCTATTCGGATCTGCATCAGGTCCAGACCCCGTTGTTGCTGCTGCTGCTGCTGCAGTGGCAAGTGGTTGTGCAGGGCATTCTGGAACTGTTGCAGCCCCGAATTCGGACCCAGCAATCGCTGGTCCTAGCTGCAGCTTTCCCTACGTGGACAGGAAGGCGGCACAAATTTCGTCTAAGTATGACGGAAAAGACGACATCGAATCTTGGATCATCTCCATGCGATCCTACTTTGATGTGTTGGGGACACCCCTGGTTACTCAATCGTCGGTCCTAGGGACCAATATGGAACCCGTCGTTTTGATGTGCTGGGGACACCCTTGGTTACTCAATCGTCGGTCCTAGGGACCAATGTGGAACCCGCCGTAAGGGGCTTCTTAGAAGTCCAAGCTGTACAATCAGGCTATAAAAGAATAGACCTGAACAAATGGTTGAAGGCTATGCCAATAGCCACACTCGAGGATCTCTTTATCAAGCAATATGTTGATCCGCATGCTGCAGCCAAAGCTAGACTCAAGCTTGACAAGCTCAAGCACAACAAGTGGACCGGCTCCATGCATAGTCTGCAGCAGTTCGTCAGTAAACTCTTTGCTATTCCTGACTTGGAGATGACTGCGCAATTTGCTTGGATGTGGTTATTAAAGGCACGGTTTCCTCTACTGTAACACATCGCCTGTGGCTAGGACTCATAACGTATATAAATTGGTTTTCCCTCGTGAGGGATTTAGTCAAGCTGGAGGCACAAGACCTCCCAGGTGGATCGAGTGGCAAAAAGACCACAGACCACAAGCGGTTTCCAGACAACAACCGTTTTGCAGCGCACGATCTACTTGAGGTTGACGAGGAGACCCTCGTAGAGGACTCTTTTCTTGGTGACGATCAAGAGCAAGACTGCGAGGCATCTTGCTCTTCGTCAGCCCATGAGTTTGATTATGTGGATGATGATGAATCAATGAATGCCTTCAAAAAGACTGCCTTCAAAAGTAAGGGACGGAGGAACACAATGAAGAACAATACTAACACCATTCTCCTTCCCAAGGGAGCGAATATTCCACCCAAACCGGAAGATCGTGCCACAAAACCATGGGTAGATATCCGAATCAGTGAAAGTGAGTGGAAA